AATGGGAAAATTTCTAGTTGTGTTGTGATGTCCTTTTCATTTAATATCAATACTTGAGGTCTGGTCCTCTGGTGAGGCTGGCCAAGGGAAGAAATTCTGCATAGTCTTGTCTCCCCAAAATAAACCCTCTGCATCTATTTGGGGCAGCCTGGCTGGGCTGTTAGCTGTGTGCAGGTGTGCTCATGTGTCAGAGGCTGAGCAGTGCCTACCAGGGTACACTAGATGCTGGCTAACCTCAGAGGAATGTTATATCTGTGTTGTACTGTGTTTCAGTGTCAGTGATACCGTGCAGAAACAAAAACAAAAATCAGAGATGAAGTGAAATGGAGATATGTCATGGCTTCAAAATATATATGGGAGGGTGGGGGAAAATCCTCTATTAGCAGCTGGGCAAGGGCTTGGGTCAACAGAAGCTATGTGGACTAACCAGAAAATTGTATTTTATAATAAAAGAGTGCACAGTTTTCTGCTCTGAAAGAGGACAAGCAGATGTCTGTGTGCAGCTGCTGGTTCCAGGAGGACTACATTTAAAAAGTGCCTAATTTTGTTTTCTTGTTAGCTTACTATGGCCTAGCACTTATTAAATTTCCAGCTGGTAGTATAATCTGGCTGTTGTGCATGTTTCCCCTCTGTGCAGGGCCCTGTGTGTAGGGTAAAAGAGGACTGCCCATGAGAGTGCAGCTTTTATTCACCAAAAGGGATTTGTCAGGACTGAGCACCTTTCAGCAATATATTAATAGCTTGCAGTTATGAACCCTGTCAGTAACCCTTTAATTTTACATAATTTATTTTCTAAGATGGCATGTTTTATACCACAGTGCACGATTTATTTCTGTGAGTGGTGCTACTGCATGTCAATTCTGAGTCTTTGGGGGTTGTCTGGGAAGTTCAGGGCTGTGCCTGTCAGAGCCAGGGAGACCAGGGAGACAGATGAGCTGGTGAGAGGAGGTCACATGTGGGGAACACCACAGGGTGGGCAGAGGTGTAAAAAGAGCTCTTGGCCATGAGGAGGGTGCTGAGTGGGCAGAGCAGGACTTCTGGATGTGCTGCTGGTTGTAGGGAAGGGATTTACTGTTATGGGAGATGAGTTTGTGGCTGGTTGCTTGTAGAAGTCTGAGTTGCAGAGGAGGGACAGAGTGGCGGAAGAGTTGATGCTCTCTCTGTGGACGGTGTGTGACAGATGTGCTGTGGCAGTGGGATTCTCCTTAGCTTCAATCTCTGTGGCTGCCTAGTGGTGTTTCTGAAGGACTCCCATTTTATATTTTACACTGATACAGGAAGGGTCTGCAGGGATGAACACATTCAATTGAGTTTCCTGGCAGAAAGCACTGATCGGGAACCACAATTAGCAGTGTCACTGTGGCAGTGCGAGCTGGGGCACAGGTCACCCAATTCCCAAGGTGTCAGGACTCACTCATTTTCAAAAAGAACTTTCACTGGACTGGCTCTTCTGACTGCAATGAAAGAGATTCTCACTTCTATATTAGGTAGACTCCATCAAGCACCAGCCATGGTGGATGACAGGCAGAAAGTTGACATCCAACCTCCCTCAGCAATTTTTGTCCTCATCCCTAGTACATGGTCTCTCGTTCTACCCCAAGGCTAAACCTCTCTCAACTCAAACACGAGTTTGTGATGAAAGACAACCTAGTTTTCAGCCATTCATTTGAATTTTGGATTTTAGTCTTGAGAGAAGCAGCCACTGTTTAAAGTGGTAAAGTTTATGTGCAGTATAAGGAGGCTGGATGGAGACGCAAGCTCTTGTTGGTTTCTCTGTGGTTTTAAAAGCACATGAAGAACATGGCTGCTCTCTTTTCCACCAAATGGAGTGACTTGTGGGCTTAGGAATGAGAGCAACCTGTTGGTGATGGTGCAGAACAACTTGTATGTGCTGTAGGGAGTTTTAAAGGAAGGGTAATTATTGGGTAACTGTACAAGAACACAAAAGGAAGTGTTTGAGTATCCTTTTTCACATTGGCAAAGCCAAAAACCTGTTGATGTTTTTCTAATGACAGATGTGTCACTCTTCACCCTAGCATTTTTTTTTCTTTCTCAGACTTCCAGTAAGCTGCTTAAAGTAAAGACTGCAGACTGACTTCAGATAACTGTTGAAGTTAAATTGCTATTTGGACTGTGTTGCTCAAAAACAAAACAGTGGTTCCAAATTGCCACTGCAGAGCAGTATTCAACAAATGCAGCTGGGAGGGAGTGTTTAAGTATGGCCTTGTTTTAGTTTTCCACTTACCCACACAGTTAGAGGGCATGAAGCTGAATGGATTATGGGCCTAGACTTGTGGTCCTGCCTGTTAACAGCTGTGTTAATGTCCTACAGGTCCAGGTGCCAGCAGAAATCTAAATTTACAATTCTAAATGAATTGTAGATTTGGCTTCTGTTTTTTTTATCATAAAGGCAGTTTTCCTGTTTTAGAGTCAGTTGTCTTTTAAGGCCTTCATCAGAAGAGCTGTGAGTACTGCAAGCTGCCACTAAATGTTGTTTTCCATGGGGATTAAGTATCTCAGCTTCTAATGCTCTGCAGGCTTTTTGCTGGCTTGGATGTCTTGATCCCTGACCCAGGTATCTGTGCCAACAGAAACTTTCAAGTGCTGATGTAGTTACGGTGAGAAAACCATACTTCCATGCTCGCTTTGCCCCTGGGATCTGGTTGTACCGAGTTTCCAAAGCAGTTACTTGCTGAGGAGGTTCTGGCTGCGCTAGGAATGGGTCTCCAGTCTGTTTTTAAGTTATTTCTTGCATGGGCAGGCCTGCTCATGCAGCCAGGGCAGCCATGGAGCTGAAGCTGCCTTCACAGCCTTCTTGCTGGAAGCTACTGGGACCTTGGCTCCCTCTCGTAGAGCCTTCTATGAAAATTGGTCTTGCTCTTCATCCAAAAAGCCTACAGTACTTGGTGCAGCCTCTTACTGGAGTCTTGCATTTTATTTCCCATCTTAAAATCCCATCTCAAACTACTTCTATGGGAAACTTTTGGCCTTTATTTGTATTTGATTCCTTTACTAGCATAGGTCAAACTGACTGGATGGACAAAAAAAAAAATTGGTTATGAATTTTTAGAAACTTTAGTAGATATTAGGGATGAAGATTCAGGCTTTTTGCTTTTCTTCTTTGTTGGAAGCCTAGGTTGAGCCTTGTTTAAAGATCCTCAGATGGCTTTTGTTTGCCACAGCTTTTGTTTGCTGGGTATCATGGTTTAGGTTAGTTAGTGGCTAAATAAAAATATTCTATAGTCAGGCTTATTCTGAATTAATAAAATGTGTTAATACATTTGAACTAGGGAGCTGGTGAGTGGGGTGATGACGAGATGTAACATGTGGGGGTTTTTGCAGAGAGAAGAGATAATGTTGGCATTGAACTTGTATGAATGATGCTGTGCATACACTAATCTTGGCCCAAAGATCTGTGCTGCCTTGGAATGTGCAGTTTTGCATGGAAATTAACACTTTAGTGCTCTGGCTCTTCACAGAGGCTGTAGGCAGGGTGATATGGTGTAAACTGCCTGAAAACAGCGAAGGGCATGGTTAGATGAACTTCTCTGTGGAAAACACCACCAGCCACTTCAGAAGGAAATGCATCAGGGACCTTGGTTGGAAGGAAATTACTGCTCTGATTGTGATGACTTTTATTTCCCTCTCTAGCTAGTAACTGAAGGACCTTTTGACACATAACTCCTATTTTTGTATGGTTACCTTGGGGTGAAGTACTGCCATGTGAGAGAGGAAAGGAAATAAGAAGAGCTTGCTGCTATTTCAGGACATGGTGAAGGAAACTTAGTGTGCTTTATTTCCCTTTGAGACTTGTGTTTAAATTAGGAGTCCATCTCCCCTGCCATGGGGCAGGGAGGGAGGGGTATTTTCCATTACCTGTACAAATAACTGTGGTGTCTCAAGTATGGAGGTATTTTCACGTGTTGAGGGGGTGTAGCCAGCTGTTTGCTGAAGAAATGCACCCTTGTTCCACTTTGTATCAGGCATTTTTAGCCACTTCCCAAATGACCACCATTTCTTCACACTAAAACCTCTTCCTTTATTCATACGACTTTATCTTCCTCAGTGTAGTATTCTGTATGTCAGAGTCCTTTCTCGTGTTTGGGTCTCAGACTTCTTCTGTATGTATCATGATATGTAAAGTTTTATTCATTATTTTGTTCTGTCAGTCATGTCTGGTCAAAGACATTTTTCATAGGTAATTTCATAGACATTTTTCATGGGCTGGATAATTACGGTTTATTTTTGAAAAATCATTGAAGTGTAAATGAAAACTGTCTTCACAGTGCTGGATGTTCAATTAATTGAATGTGAGGCTTACATCACATTTGAGCAAAGTAGCTCAAAAATACTGCTTTAAATAAAAATCTATGAAATATATAATGTAGAAAAATTCAGGTAAAGATTTTTTTATAAAAATTGCCTTGATTATTCTTGTGTCTCTGTGCTGGGGACTTACTGCACCAGTTGTGTTCCAGGGATAGCAAAGTTAAAAACTGCCCAGAGTTAAGCAGTCGCCATCTCAGAGAACTTGTTTATTCTTTATAGCAAGGTAATAATTCCAGCATATTTCCTCAGCATGATTAATGGTGTATCAGATAAAAATCCACCCTGACTGAACTCAGGGAGTGCCATTCTTAGTGTATTCTTGAAATGCCACTAGTTTGCTATTTCATTTTCTTTTGATTTGTTTATCAAGGATTAAACCTACATCATTAGGTATTATCTCTCAGCCAGGTGCTTATTTGCAGGCCATCAGCTGTGAGTTTTTTGACCAAGAACACCATGAGACACTTCTTGGCAGATGACATCTTTGGGTGGGGACTGCTGTCTTAGCAGGACTTACTCCAGTGAAAAATACGTCATTTCAAGTAAAAGTTTGAGAAACAGTGCGTGGCTGTTTTATAAAGTCTTGGGATTAGTGTCATAGATCTTCTAAATGTGACTGTGGAGTTCCTTTGTCTTTCTCTGATCCCAACATTTGGTTTTTTTCCCTTTAGGCACAGCTGGAGGCCCAGAGGGCGACTCAGGACTTTCAGAGGGCCACTGAAGTGCTGCGTGCTGCAAAAGAGACCATTTCGCTTGCTGAGCAGAGGCTGCTGGAAGATGACAAGCGTCAGTTTGACTCTGCCTGGCAAGAGATGCTCAACCACGCTACTCAGAGGGTAATGCAAACCTGCCCCAGCACCTACCTGCCTTTTCCATGCTTTGTGTTCTCCTGTGGTGTATGAGGCCCAGTTTCTGAAAGACCAAGTTTTTCTTTTGGTCCAGACACATGACATGTAGGAAATGAAGCTGTGAAAATTATGAAGCCTAAGGTTAAATGATCTGGACCTTGGCTGCTTCTAGACAGCTCTAGTTCTCTGTCTGGTGGTGCTATAGTAGTGGAGTAGCTCTCTACAGAAAATGAAAAGAAAGTTACTGCCATCTATTTTACAGGGATAAACAATGTCTTAAGGCATATCTGCATTTGGAGTTGTGCCAGAATAATTGCATGGGGATGCCTGTTCCTGAATATGTGTGTTGTGGGAGTGTTTACCCTGGAAAAACAGGGACATGTTCCTGTTTTAGTATAACCTGTTCTTAGTATGGACTATATTGAACAAGTCACTTAGCTTCAGAAATGTGTGTTTGAATGTAGAATTACTCAAAGTTGTGTGTTACATTTAAAGCTTGCATGCTGCTTTATCCTAAATTAACTTTGGAAGTTAGACAACGTCCTACCTCCTTTGTAAAGTCTTTTTAAACCTACAGAAGAGATGCACTAACAAAGAAAGACAGTATTCTTTCTAGCAGATGTCAGGAAGAATTTTCCTGTCATTTGTCTTCTCTCTGTTAAAAAAAAGAAAGGCAGAAAGGGTTACTTTAACATAAAAGAACCAAAAATTGAAGTTAAAAACCTTTGTTCTGTCATTTCCTTAATATGCCAGTGAAGCTGAACTTGCTATTCCAAACATGCTATCATGCCATACAATGCTCATATTGTCTTTCAGTCCTCAGTGCAACAGCTCTGTTCTGTTGCAGAAGCTTCTCAGTCACAAGAAAGCCTCTATTTCAGAGTGAATTTTAAAATCCAGCTGACTGAACAGAAGGGATGTTGACTGTGTGTAGGGGAGAGATAGAAAACCTGGTATATATTAAAGAGAAAATGAACTCCAGGGTACTGTTTGTGTCATTGTCCCTGTTATAATTTGGTATTTGCAGATCTGGTGACCTCTGTGTTTATGAGGGGAACTCCTCCTTTGCAGTGTGTGTGTGCCAGCTGTTACTTTCCTGAGCTGTAATCCCTGCTCAATATGAACAAAGTTCTAAAATAGATAATTTTTGATTCTCAGAATTGATAGGTGGGAAAACCAGAAGTGTCTAAGGAGCTGCTTAGAGAACCTGACTGCTGAACTGCTGAGTTTTGGTGAACAGTGACAGCAATCACATCTGCCACCTACTTCCCTCTAGCTGGCATAACAAAAACTTGTGTTGGGGTGGGTGAGGAAAGAAACAATGGCAACTTGAGAGTACAAACTAGTTCTTTTTTTTCCTTGGCTATTTCAAAGGCATCCTTGTGTCCTCCTACAACCCTTGATTGTTCCCTGACAGTCTGTAAGAGGTGTGCTCCTGAGATGAGTAAACCCAGTGATTCAGAGCAGCAGATGGCTGCTGGCAGTGTTTGGTGGAGTCCTGCTGGTGGTGTTGACTGATTGCTGGATACCTGCTTGTTGGGGGGCTGATTCAAGCCTTAATGTCTCTGCTTTGTTACAGCTGAACAGTAAATGGGGAACTTAGTGTACTTACTGCAGCTGTAAAATCTCCTAGGCACTGACTGGAGTGTATAGAAGCAGCTGAGGGTTCCATGAATTGAAAACTTGTCCAGCAGTTCCTGGTGTTTAAAATAGTCTGGGTAAACTCAGTTCCCACAAAGCACCCATCTGTGCCTTGCCATGGTGCAGCAGGTTTTGAGAGTTCCATGGAAGCTTGTCTTGGGATTTTCATTGGCCGTGGTGGAGGTCTGAGGGCTAAGGCCAGAGCCTAAAAGGGTGAAAGTGCTGTTGGAAGTCTTGACTGAACACACCCAACTTGAGTTAGTTTGGAGTGCTTGACTGAGTTTTATATCTTCTCTAAGAGCGGACTGAAAACTTCACTTGGCTTCAGTGCATGCAATTAATGAAGTGCTTAGTGTTCAGTGAGGCTGAACTGGCATCTCAGGGAGCAGAAAACATTGACATTCCCCACTAAGCTATGGATGAAAAGAGGTTAGAGGATGAGATCTTTTAGAACAAAAGTTCTTCTTGACTGCCACAGTGTTGCTGACAACTCAGATCATTAACTATTAATTACATTAGAAATCACTAATGGAAAAACCGTTTGTTTCTTGGGGTGAAGGCTGAGGATTAATCTATAGACATCTTCTATTTGCACATATAAAATTGCCCTTGGAGAAAGCTTTTGCACTCTGGTTATTTGGATTTTCTAGCTTTTTTTGCATGCATTTATAGATGATAGTTTTATGGGGCAGAAAATAACCTTGCAGTGGGCCTTTTGCAGCAAGGACTCAAGTGCAGAAAAGCACCTTTGAGCTAAATGTTAGAAGTGGCCTACTAATTCATTTGTTTCTCCTGATAGAAATGTCAGGCCAGAGTAAAGTGTTTTTATTTTCTGTTCTTAGGCAGAGGGAGCAGGCTTTACTGAATTAATCTGAAACTTGGAACCAAACCTGAGCCCTGTAGCAGCTTGGTAGCTGACAAACACCATAAACAGAAAGTATAAAGAAAAAGAGCAGGCAAGAGAACAAATGAGAAACTGATTTGTTACACAGCTATAATGCATGCAAATGCTGCCAGGTTGCTTCTGTGCTTGACCTAATGGATATAGACAGAGACTTGGGTTCCAGGGTACCAAACAGGAAATGCTATTTCCAGACCTTCATTGGGAGGAAATAGAGATAAAGGTTGTATGTTGTAATTGCTTTTTGATGTCTTGATAGTCTGAAAAGCCATTAACACTTTTTTTAAAGTGACAACCCATTGGGCTTCTTTAAGCAAGACTTCTGTAGCCACTGATCTAGAAAATCATGCAATTCAACTGATGTGAAACAGGAGAGTTACTGAAATTTTATTTTTCCTGGGTGAGCTGGAAATATAACGTGTGGAAAGTCTTTCTATTCATGGAACAGATAGAACCAGCATGAACATGTACATGGAGTATAGGCTGTCACTTGAGAATTTCTTTGCACCTTACAATTTGAGCTGTGTTTCCAAAGAAGGCTGGGAGCATAAATAGGAGCTGGATTCCTGCCTACCTGCCTGTGAAGATGCAACTAATCCCTGCAAATGTCTGTGCTTGAACTAAGTGTTCACAACAGAGAAGCACTGGACTATGGTGCAATCCTGCAAGTCAGGCAGCTGCTTTGCCCACTTCTACTCTTAACTTGATGTGTATTTTGGGGTAAAGTCCTGTGTTTTCTTCCTAAATGTCCGTTTTTCCACAGATCTCAGAAGTGTAATGACACTTAGATTGGAATTTAGCTCCTTAGTGTCTAGAACCTGACTGTGTATCAAAATTACTTGCCAAAAGCTCCATTGTGATGGAAGGCAACTTGATCAATAAGTGGTGTCTGGAGAGCAATGTGTCCAGAGGGGCAAGTTCATTGTAAGATAAATTCTCTGTTGATTATAATGGAAATGTAGACAGGCTTGATGAGCTCTTAAGCTGCCTGGGGAAGAAGAGTACTGTTCCCTCTTAGCCACTGGCTTACCAGGATTTTGTTAACTGCAGTGTCTCTTTAAAATTTGGAGATGATGTTTTTGCTAGTGGGTACCAACCTTTTTGTACCTCGAATTGTAATGCTGCAGCGTGGGGTGCAGAGAGCAGGGCTGTGAAAGAGAGTCCTGTGGAAGGACCAAAGGACATTGAATTTTGGATGGATGGAGGAAAAAGATCTTCACATTTATGCTCCTATTGAAAATAATTCATTAAGATGTACAAAAGGAAAGTACTGACAGATGTGTTACCTCTAGTTTGACACAAGCTGGAGCAGAAAGGGAGACCCTTCATGAATTTCAAGAGAAATTGCTAATTTCTAATTGCTGATGGAATCTGCAGTCTTAAAAAGGTCCTGTTTTTACAGTCTTTCCTGAGATATGATGAGTTCATAAATTCTGGCAGGAAGAAGAAATGTTTTGGCTCTTGATCATGAGACATTTTAAAAAGAAGAGGATGAGGGGAGAGTTAAGAGGGAGGAGGCATGCTCCCTCTTGGATTAATTTGGCTTGTGAAGCTCCCTTTGATATTACACTGTGAAGTACCATCTGTCAGTGTAAAATGTGTGGGTGCTTTCGTGATGTAGAGAGGAGAGATACTTCCTGCAACTAGAAAAACTTAGGGGAAAAAGAGGGAGAAGAAAAATCTGTGAAAGAAACAACAAAACACACCTTTCCTTGTCTAGGTCTCTCTGTCACTTTATCCTGGAAATCCAGTGTTTTTTTGCAATCCCTTGTATTGTTGATTCTCTCCTCCTGGTTTACAGATGCTGCATTGTCTCTTTCCTCTTTTATTTTTAATTCTTCCCCTAGAAGAACAATCAATTTAATGTTTTGTGAAAGAAACAGTCCTCCAGAGTAATTCTCTGGCTTAGGTGGTCAGCTTTGCTCAACTCCACTGAGAAAATGGGTTTTTTGCATTTGTTGTTGTTGCTGAAATTTTGCCTGGAGTCCATTTTTACTTCAGGATATGGAAACATTTTGGGTGGAACAAAGCTACTTGTACAGACTTACTGATGGTAAATACATACTCTACACTGACCTTCCTTTTCCAGACAACTGGGTAGGAAATAGAGGGCAGGGGGGAAGAGGAATTTATTAATCCCTGTGTTGGGGGGTTTTGCTTGCTTTGTTTCCCATTACTTTTATTTTATAGCCTGTGCTACCTGGGAGAGTGAGCTCTGCCTGGGGTATGTGATCCAGCAGTTAGGGACAGGCAAGGGCTGCAGGAATGTGTGGTGGTTGTGTGGGTATCCTGGAAATTCATCCATTCTGGGTGTTTTTGTCCAAGAGTGTGTCCCCTGCTCACCCCAAGGGTGAGCTGGAAGGCAGGTACGATGTAAGGAGGTGAGATGTGTCTTGAGCAGCCTTTGTCTGAAAAGGTGTCATCCTCACTTCTTTTTCTGCCTTTTTCTGAGTGATGCTGTTGCATCTGTGATGGCTTAGGAGCATCTACAAGAGAAGGTGGGTGGTAGAAGCACTTGGGTTAGACAAACCAGCTTGTTTGGGAACGGTGACCTAGAGCTTCCTTACAAGTCCATATGACACTGCAGTTTTTTCACCAAATATATTATTAGCTCTAATAAAAACTACTTTCCTACCAAAGCCTGTCTGTCTTTTTCTAAGCCTTCTTAAGGAGATGAGGGGTTTGCCTAGCTGGTCTTACATTGAACTTGCCAGCTGTAGAGGTGGCAGCATCGTTTGTAGTTTGTTTCTGTCCACCAGCCCTGGTGAACAGCTTCTCCATTTAAAGGCTGTTCGGCTTTTGCGGAGGGGTGGAAGATACCTCTTGTTTCTTCTTGTTTAAATGAAGTGCCTAAATGCATCCTGGCAAGTGGTGGACCTCTGCAGAGGTACCTTATAATCCCCCAGGTAATATCCTCAGCTTTGGGCATGCACCTTGAGCTGCTGCCTCAGGGAAAGGGGACAGACTGTCTCTGCAGGCTTGTGCAGATAATGTGAGCATGAGGACAGAATTCCCACAGAAAAACAAGGGTGTGGGGGGAGAGAGAGATTTTCTTACATCACTGATTTCTCAAAAGGATGAAGGATAGCATGTTTTCCCTCTTTCTTTCTGGAAAAGGGGGTGGATTTATTTCCTTTCTGGAAATGAACGTGGGTATATATGGCCAGCAGCAAATTCCACATTTTGTCAGATATTTTGAGGCAATTGCAATCTGTCATCCTCAAATCCCAGTTCTGCAGGGTTCAGCATTTCTGTGATGTTTGATATGAAACATTTGAAAAATCAGCATGATACTGGACACCTAACCTGCTTTATGACCCTGGTGTTGGTTGTACTTATTAAGTGATTTATCCCAGATATCAAAGTTTATGCTAATTTTGCCCCAAGAACGGATGTGAGAGACTGGCATGTAACTGAGCACTGGCAAGTTCCAGTTGCTCCATTATTTTGTAGCTTACAGCATTTTTAAATTGCAGTTTCCTTGCCAGACTAGAAAGAAGATGAACCACCTTCTGTGCAGTCCTGGGAGACTGCAGTTTAATTTAAGAGACTTCCACGTTAAAACCAGCCTTGTCTGACATGTTTCACTAAGGCAAGTCATTGCACCAACTGGCCTTAAAACAGTTGTTTGAGATAAGAGGCTGCAGTTTATTTTTCAGGATGCAGGAGAAAATATGTTATGAACCTGATTTTTTTTTTTCTGTTTCTTTGAAAATGGATGCCTTATGTATGTGAGAAAGTTGAAGGGTGTTGGAGTTGAGTATATTATTTTGTATCTTATCAAAAGATCCTTTGAAAATCTTTATTTATCATAGGAATTTCTACAGAATTTTAAACTTTCTTTAATAATGAGTGGTATGTGTGGATAAGCAAAAGGTGGCCTCCAGTTGTGGCAGCAAGAGCTCTGAGTTGATGCTGATGGCTGTAGCAGTTTCACTCTTTCATTTAGGCATCAGAAAGGACAATATGACAGTTTTCCTGAGAGGAGCAGTGATCCAAGTGAGTCAGAGCTGACCATCTCTTTCCCTTGTTCAGTTCTGCCTGAGGGTCATGAGAACTAGCATGGTTTTTCAAAAAATTAGAGCTTTATGGGTGAGGTTATTTAAAATCAAGCTATTTTGAATATTCTCTCTGCATATGAGAGCTCAGATGCAGTCTTGTGGTGGGAGCCAGGTGGAACAAATTTGCATGAGGTTGCAGAGTAGTTGGTATCGCAGCTGAGGCATTTCAAAACCCAGTACCAGAGACAATCAAGTCCTGCCATTTTTTGTATTAATACCTTCATAGCTGCAAAACAGGAAGCTTAAAAAAATTGCCTAAAAAAATTGACTTCAAAAAAAATCAGTTGCCTCCCTGTCTGGATACTGACTGCTAATGCACTAAATAAAACACATTTTCTGACTTACACCTCTAACATCTCAAATTTGGACAACAAAAGTACCCTGCATAAAATTACTGGCAAAGCGTGGCCATGGAGTACCAACAGTGCAGCTAATGGAGAGACATTTACCTTCCTTCTCCCAATGCTTGACAACCCTTTTCAGTGAAAAAATTTTTCCTAATACTCAATTTAAACCTCCCCTGGAGCAACTTGAAGCCTTTTCCTCTTTCCTGTAGCTTGTGGCTGGGGAGAAGAGGCTGATTCCCACCTGGCTACACCCTCCTTTCAGGGGGTTGTGGAGAGCAATAAGGTCTCCCTGAGCCTCCTTTTCTCCAGGCTAAACACCCCCAGCTCCCTCAGCTGCTCCTTATCAGACTTGTGTTCTAGTTATCTTGATACATGAGGATAGGGGACTGGTCATCAGCGTAACTTTGTTGTCTGCCTAGTAGGGGTGTCAGCTCAGGGCTTGAACCTTTGCATTTTCAGTATTGAAACTGACTTCAGGCATGTCAGCTGTTTTTTAAGAGAAGAGCCATCTCGGACACAGTGTTTTCTAGTGATTGGTTATTCAGGCTGAACTGTATTTGAGTCCTCCCTCTGCTGTGGTTGGTGTTCAGCCCTTTCCAGAGTGATGGGGCTGCACTGGGAGCTGAGCAACCAGCAAGATCTCTGCAGGGAAAGCCAAGTTTCCCAGAGAGGAGCAGGAGGAAACAGAAACATTACTGTTGAATGTAACTGGGTGACTTCTGCTAGTGTTGCTCCACTTGTGAGTATCTAACTGGATTAAAAAATGGATGGTCCAAAAGCTGAGGGTCTTCTGAACTTCCTGTGAGAGAGACTATGCGAAAAGCTCTAACACCCTTGTCATAATTTACAATGTTTGAAGACCTGCTGCTCTTTTTTGGGAAAGACTTTTAAGTAGGTTCACTGGGAATAATTTTTTCTGTACCCTCACTTTCCTGACATGAGCTGATTGGAGAGATTATAAAGTTGTTGTTGTTAATTGAAATGATAAGAAGTCAATCATTGTGCCTTGCTGCTCAACCTGTTTTTTCCCCTCTTGAAGGTCATGGAGGCGGAACAGACCAAAACGAGAAGTGAGTTGGTTCACAAGGAGACTGCAGCCAAATACAATGCTGCCATGGGAAGGATGAAACAACTGGAGAAGAAGCTGAAAAGAGCCATCAATAAGTCAAAGTATGTTTTATGTTTGGAGAGTAGTTTAGTGGTGAGAACTGTTTGGGGAAAATACCTATATTATGGGGTTTTTGAACTTGTTGAAAGTGTATTGCTCTTTGGGTTTCTCTCTGTGTGTAGCAGCCTGACAGCACAATTGGTACTGGTATTTGTCCTTGTCCTCCTAATGAAAGACCTGGTGAACTACATGGGATAAGAAACCTTTTCTGAGCAGCACCTTGGTCTTGTTCGAGTGCACTGAACTCTTTGGTGGTGTGTGATTTGAGGAACAGGTGCATGGGATCCACACAGGTGCTGACTGCAGAGCTCTGTGTGGATGTTTCACAGCCTGGGATTGTTCACAGTTCTTATTTTTAGTTAGGAGAGCAACAAAGCAAGTGACAGAAAGCTGAAAGGTGTGAGACTGCACGGGTGAAAGCTGCTGTACACAAGGCTTGTTTACTTCCTGCCACTGCCATGGCAAAGCTGTGTGAGAGCTGTTCTTGGGGAAGGAAACACCCTTTGGAAGGCATAGCTAAGCAGCTTGTGTCATTAATAATTGTGTCTGCATTTGCTGTGCAGTTTGGCTCTGTTGCAGAGAAGGGAAACAGCTTTTTGCTCAGAACTTGTTTAAAATTTTGGCCCTGTTTACAACCAATTCTTAATCCTCTTTATATTTCACAATCTTTTTCTTTTTTTTTTTTTTTATATTTCCAGACTGTGGCTTGTCTAAACAATCTGCTTGCTGTATTTAGCTTTTAATCCCTTCCATTTAAAAATGACTTTTTGGTGAAATCGGTCAACTGAAAATCTATTTTGACTGGTGTTTGCTCAATTCAAGAAAGGATTAGCACTTCTCAAGCAAGATTCAAGCATGTTTGCTGAAATAGTATAGTGGTGTGACTTCCTAGAATGAGCTGCATGCTGTTTGTCTAGCACAGCACAGGGGCTGTGAAAACCATCATCAGATCACTAAATGACAGATTTCTCTGGATAAGGCCAATATCTGAGAACAATTTTGGCTGCCGGGAGTTCCTTCCCTGCAATAAGATTTAAAATAAAGACCATGATTAAGTTGTCAGTGGGGTCCTACATAGCTTTTTATGGTGGTGTGGAGTCTGGTGTCCCTGCTGCCTCTTGTGTGACATGCCTTTGAGTTTTCATTTCTCTGCTGGAACTACCTTTGGAGGGGTGTCTTGTGTCGTTCTCCTTGGGCCAAGCTGTTTTCCACTTCTGTGGAAGGATCCCAGTGTATTCTTCTGACTCACAGCAGGGCTGACTGCAGCATAAACCATCTAGGTAGGGTGTTTTGGAGATCCTTTAGTAAAGGCTGTATAGAAATGCCACTTCTAACCTAGCAGTGACGTGAAAGATGCCTGGTGGCACAAATAGTCATGGATGCCTTTAAAGTTATGCTACATAGGGATGTTGGAAAGGTCAGTTGTCTTCCAGCATTGCAATTTTCACATAAAGGAGAATCGCAGCTGAGCTGAAAACATCCATGATGTCAGCTGGCTACAGAAACTGGGAAATGAGGCTGCTGGATTTGCAGCTGTTTGTATTGTAGGGTGTAGCTGGCCTCTAGCTGCTTTTCAGGAAGGATTTAACACCAACATCCTGCTCTGACCTTCTCCCTGGTTAGTGTGGGAGCACTGGCTCTAACACCTAGGCCTTTTTGGCCATTTGTTCATCTTCTCTTTAAACTTGTGGATAACTCACTGTTATCCACAATTAAACTCACTGAATTAGTTGCTCTCTTCCGGGCAGGAAATGATTTGCATTTGCTCCTTGGTTCAGTTGGGATTAAGATGCTTAAAGCCTTATTATTTTGAAAGCAAGACTGGAGCATCCTGGAGGAAAGTAATTTAGATGATTTGCCCTGTAAAGTTGATGAGCAAAGGATTATTGGATAGTTTTGTTTTGGTTTTGCTTTTAATTTAGTTTTTGGGTGCTTACTTGCTTGTGATCTATGAATGTGCATACGGCTGCATGTTCTTAACAGTTACCAGATCTTCTCAGTGCCTCTGAGCTGTAGGATAATGAACCCTCCTATGTTAGCTGATTTTTGGAAGTCACTTTTTGCTCTGGTGGCTTGGGCAAAGTGCCTTTCACTCTTCCTGTCATCTACTTGAAAAGCACTTTGTCTGTGCAGTGCCCTGGGCTCAGCCAGCCTATGATGCTTGTATCAGTGAGCAGTTCCTGCCCTGCTGAGTTCCAGACCAGCCCTCAATGGTTACAGGGCCAGGGATGTCAGGGAATGAAGGGACCCTGGGACATGGGAGTGCCTCCCCTGCCAGTGCCCTGGTTCCTGCTGGCATCAGGTGCCTGGCTGTGTGTGAGCCATGAGTGAGCAGGAGGGTTTATGTGCAAGCTCCTGCTCTTGGTCTCCTTACAGTGGCTGAGGTGGTGTTTTTCCTACCTGTTGCAAGTAAGCATTCCTGTTTGTATGTGTACATATGTATATTTGTGTATATACACACATGCACATATGTATTGTTTTTTCACACCATGCAAACACACATATGCTTGTTGCTGATAGAGAGGGGATTTTTCCTAAGGCTTGTGGAAGCTGGTAGGAAGTTAGGACTCGAGCCTGGTTGTTCCTCCCAACTGGCACCAGGCTAAGGAAGGCTGAAAATCAGGTCCTTTGAGGTGAGTGGTTTTCACTGTGTTCCCTGTGCGTGTTTCCCTGCAACACCATTCTGTCAGTATCTGTCTGCTGCCATTGCTTTGGGGTACAGCTGTAGGAGTCCTTTATCTGTTGGATCCAAATTCTCAACTGCAGTGTTTTATTTGGCCTGGCAGGTGCATCTGTGTAGCCTTTGGCAGGGTGATGTCCCACTAAGGGAAGGCAGAGGTGCATTTTGATGTCACTGGAAGCATCAAGACTTGGCTGTGTGCTCCTGGTGATGGTGGGAGGGTGCTTAAAAATATCAGAACTGTAAATAACCTACTCTAATGGAAACACAACTCAGTTATTTTGTGTATGACTGTGTAGTGAATTCAACCCTTCAAAGAACGTAGGATCAGAAAGCCACAGTTTCACACTCCTGAATTCCAGTGCACAGTCCAAAATGCAGCTGCAGTAGGGCTTACAGCTCAGAAGAGCCTTGCTGTCATGGTAGAAACACAACAAGGGTGGTTCACATTCTGTTTTGTGTAAAGCCATATCCAATTGCTTATCTCTCCCCTACTTTCCTCGAGAGCTGCTGAGTGGGGAGAGGAGGGTAGTGAGCCCTGCTGAAATTACAGTTGGTTTTTTTTTGTATCTTTTTTTTTGGTGTTGTATCAAATGATATTGGCTTGTGGGCTTCAAAACTTTGAGGGTGGAAAGTGGTTTCTAGGCTTTGTACTGCACCTCCCGTACCCCTGTCCTCTTGCAACCTTACAAGCAAGTTTAGGGAAGTGCCTGGTGGGCCACTGTTGGGAAGTGCTGTGCCCTTGTGTGTGGTGCTCTGACTTCTCTTCACACTCTCTCCTTCACTGAAAAATCCAAGTACTGCCCCACCACCCCCCACACTTGAACATGGAGCAGGTTCACCTTCTGTAGGAATTTACATGTGCTGTGGGCTCAGAAATTAGCTGGGTAGGGAGAGGATGACTGTGCCTGAAGCTGGATGTTACATTTAAATGTCTTGCAGAATGAAGGCCTGGAGGAATTACGCTGTGAACTCCAAAAACTGGAATTTTGCAATTTGAATTTAGGTCAAAAGACTCCTGAGAAATAGATGCATTAGGGAGTAAGAGAGAGACACTGAGAGCATATGTAGGTGTTCCATCATCTGGATAGTGGTCTCTTGGGATTGCAGTGATACACAAAATAGCTGTGTTAATGCTACAAAGAGAGCAACTCCCACACCAGTACACTGTGTTCAGTCCCAGTGATTGTAAACAACTGTTCTTTGTATTTTCACAGACCTTATTTTGAACTCAAGGCGAAGTACTATGTCCAGCTAGAGGTACGTATATAATTCAGATCCATCTGAAACTCTTTACTGCTTACAGTAGATACTGAAATTACATCTCAAGTGCTCTGACAACTATGTTGTGTTTTTATACAAAACCAATTCAAAATTTCTTGAGCAATTTGCTAAGCACATTTTAAAGATAAAAGTCTAAGATAGTCTTTGTTTTTTTGTGTGAAATAAGAGTGTTTGAACTCTGTCAGAACCAAAAGAGTACAGTTTGACTGTCTTTGCTTCTTGTAGTTTAATGTGTGTGGAATTTATTTGTTTGTTGTGGGTTTCATTTCCCTCCCCCTCTATGTTTTATGCTTCAGACTGTTTAACTGTACTTGGGGTGCTCTTTTATGTTCACTGGTTGGATCAATTAACAGAATAAGCAGCCTGCTTGCAGTGCTCAAATACTATGCAGATGTGAATTTCTGATTTGGGGTTTGGCATAAGAGGAATTTGGGATTTGGCTGGATATGCTTTCAGGGCTTTTTGGCATCTCTGCACTGCATTCTGTGTGGTGCAATGATGTCTGGCCATGCTTGGGCATAGCACATGCCTTGCAGAGCACAGTGGCCCTGGGGCAGGCATGGCAGTTCTGTGTGGGATGGTAATCCCTGCTATTACAGCCAGTCTTGGAGCTGCCAGAGATGGGAGGGCAGAGTAGCCCTAGAAATTCAAATGCAAGAATCATTCTCTTTCTACTTGAGTGAATTTTGCTGCATGTGGCCCCCAGAACTGGGAGCCTGGCTCCTCACAGTTGGAGGGTAGTGGCTGGTGCTGTTGTATAGCGCAGTGGCGCAGTGGAGCACATTGCCTTGGACTGCTGGCCCTGGGTGCAGGAAGGCTCCAGTGGGGTGCTGGGTCAGTAGGATTCTACCTAGAAAAGGATTTCCATTCATTTTCTGGGGTTCAAGGCATATCCCACAACAGTTTTGTGAGCCCTTCCCTGGGCTGCCTGAGATTGAACAGCATTTTGTAAGCCTCAGAGACTCTGGTGTGCACCTTTCTCCTTGCCTGGTTCCAGGCTTGGGTGCCCTCTCCTCCTCTGCCTTGCCTGCCTGCGGCTGCTGCTGCATCAAGCTGAACCCTTGCCTGCCCTGGGCTGGGTGCCAGGCCAGTAATCCCTGCTGCCTAGAAGCATCTTTTGAGAAATTCCCTTTTTTCCATGGGCAAATGCACTGTTTGTGGGCCTGCTGCTTCTCCATGGCAGCTGCTCAGTGCCCTCCTGAAGCAAGGTAATTGTGTAAATTGTATGAAAAAAGCACAGATTGCTTTTAATACACAACAAAACAGCTTTGAGAGAGCTACAGAAACACAAGCAGTGTTTCCCCTTTGGGAAATAGGATGTACAACACTCCTGTCCTTGCTGTAGGGTGGTGTTTGTGGCTGGGGACACAGGAACTGCTGTATTACAGCTGCCAGGGTTTGGGGTTTGCTGCATTCTGTTCTGCAGGTTTAGTGAGCAGAAGTGACAGTTTTGGTGCTCAGCAGAGAGTGAGGCTCAGCCCCCTCCGGCTGCCAGCAAACCTTAGGGGTTCTGGGATAAGCAGTGACATAGCTGAGAGCTGCATTCCTGTTAAGGAGACATCCTGCAAGTTCACATCTTAGCAGGGCCTCGGCTCTGTGCTTAGCCAGGGGCCATGACCACGCTCCAGAGGCAATCCCAGTCCCTAGCTCCCGTGGTTGGCCTTGCTGTTGTCTCCTTCACAAGTGCCACTACTTGTGCTAGGGTGCTTCTGAATTCTGAGCTCTCCCATCCCATAGATACCAGCCCCAGTTTGTGCTTGCCTGTGCAGAGCCAAGGCACCTGGACACATAACGGGGAACTGTGTGCTGTGTCTTGTTTGTAGTGAAAGTCCATCTAATACCTGTCTCCCTTGTCAGCAACTGAAGAAAACAGTGGATGACCTGCAGGCCAAACTGGCCCTGGCAAAGGGAGAGTATAAGACTGCCTTGAAAAATCTGGAGATGATCTCAGATGAGATTCATGAGAGGAGAAGGTCCACTGCCATGGGGCCCCGAGGATGTGGCGTGGGTGCCGAGGGGAGCAACACCTCTGTGGAGGACTTGTCAGCGAGTAAACCGGAGTCAGACACCGTGTCCAGTGAGTACAGAGCATTGTTGTGCTTGGGAATATCCCATGGGCATTGTGAGAAATGCTGACGTTAGGGCTGCTCTGCGTATTCTGCAGTTTTGAAATTTGCTGGCTGTTGTGGGACTATGGCTAAGTTGTGACGCTTCTTGTTATTGCAGGAGTTGATTACATTCTTTAATAGCCAGTTTTCAAGGGAAAGGGTAAGGAGTTAAAGTGCATCAGCCATTCCCTTAACATCTCTGTAGTTTTTTGTATGGTGCTGTATGAAAGGAGCAAAATTAACACACTTCAAAGCGTTTGTCTAATTTTATGCCAGTGGTGCTGCTGTCAGTGACTCGCCTGGGGTGGTCGCAGGCTGTCACAGATGATTCAGCCAGTGTGGGAACAGACCCTTTGGATCAAGTGCTTGTGTTCCAGTGCTGGGCCTGTGGCAGAGGGAGCTGAAGTTGTGGCTACAGTAGTACAGAAAGGTGTGATGCTCGCATGGAAGCGTGTAAGGATAAGCTCCTTTGTGCTGCAGAGTCTTTTGCCAAGGTGTGATTTCAGCAGAGCAGGTGGGCTGTGAACAAGGGAAGTGAAGAAGCAGCAATATGCTGCTGCAGTGTGCTGAGGGGCTCTGTAGGAGAAATGGGTGACAGCAACAGCCTCCAAGGAAGCTCCAAACAAGCAAGGTAACCTCTGCTTTCTGATGGCACATGGGGACCTTGTGCTGCAATGTCTGTTGTGTGGTGAGTTTGCATTTGTCCTGGCTCTGAGTGAAAGTGGAGAGATGGATTACATGTGGCCTACTTTTGCCTCCTTCCTGGACACTTTTTCCCCTTCTTGATGCAGAAAGTCTTTTTCTTGCTCCCCAGTCCCAGAACCACCAGTTTTATTTGTATTTCAGCTTCGTCTCTGCAGGGAAAAGTTTATGTCAGGATTGCAGGCTTCCGTGATTGCACAGCCCTGGTGCCCAAAGGCAGAAGATGCAATTTCCCTACAGACATCAGTGTGTACTGGCACTGAGGCCTTGTAGGTCCTTGTGTGAGCTGGGAGGCAGCCCTGGGCTGGCCTCCACCCTCTGCAGTGGCGGGAGTTTCTGCACAATGTGTTGGAGCTCTCTCACTCAGTACTGCACAACTGGGACCTGAGTTGCAGCAGCAAGTGGGTGCTGTGTCCAGACAGCTGATGCAGCCAGGTTTCAGTATGGCTGCTTATCTTCTGCCACCCTGAACTCCTGAGGCTGACCCTTTCTGACATAGGCAGGAATTACCTCTTTTGTATACCTGCAAGTCCCCCTCCTTGTGCAAAAGGCCTCGTGAAAGCCTTAGCTATAACTGAGTTTTAGGGTATTTTGTGCTTTAGGAATTCAGGGACCTGGGATATAGGGGCAGAAAGAGGCAGGAAAGTTAATATTAATTAATATTAGTTGCTGGCTCCCCTGGCTGCTGCTGAGACTGCAGGCAAGGACCAGCAGTGTGGGCTCATCCCTCTCTTGAATTGCACAGTCTGACATGAGTGGAAGGAGATCAGCTTGTGTCTGGTGCCAACACAGAACTGGGTTATGACAGGGCAGCACTAGCAGCCTGGATTAAATAATAAAATAGCCTGGATTAAGTTCTCATTGTAATGTGGGGGGAGCTTTCCACCAAGGTCCTTTTATATCTTGATTTCTGTCTGCTGGAGTTGGATAAAACACCTCATCATCAGCAAGTTTCTTGGCCCTTGCAGATGCTCCTGTTACAGTGAATTTAGATTGTGAAAAGGAAGCTACAGTTTAAGCTGTGCCAGTTGTATACTGTCTGATGTCACTGCTTCTTGCCAAGCAGAGGACTCTAATTGGAAACATTTTTTGCCAAACTTCTTATTGCTTTTGCCCCCCACAGTTATCTGTACTGCTCACCATATATTGATGCAGCACAGCAAGTGAAAAGGCCCCTCTGCAGACTTAGGTTTGAGTTCATTAAAAACAAAACAAAACCCCAACCACAAGAAAAGCTGTCTCAGTATGAAGTGCCCTGGAGAGGACTCAGGAAGGTGGATAACGTTATCCATTTTGTTTGAAGCCTTTTGCGTCAATTTTGCAATGTGTAAATGCAGTTCTGCAATCTGCAAGTCCAGCAGAAAGAGGTGTAACATCTCTGCCATAACCATGGCAGTGGCAGCCTCTGTTGGCACCTTTGTGTCCGAGCAGTGCCTGCGAGCCCCGGGCTGCCAAGGTGACCAAAGAATTTCTTTGAAGCTTCTCCTTTGAGCCATTTTGTTAATGCTGCTGCTTTGCTCCTGCTGCTCTTCCAAAGCAATTCTGAGCCTCACGAACAATGGCAGGAATCACAAGGAAGAGGAATTGAAGATAACCTCAGGTCACTGTGGATGTCTTGCTGTGTCTGGGACTTCTTCAGGTCAATGTGATTCCAGCACATACTTGTGTGGTATAGAGGCTGATGTGTGTAGAGAACCTTCTCATCCCAGTGGGACTGCTTGTATGCAGAAGTCTTTGGTCCCCACCCTGCCATGAGCCTCTGAAGTGTATTTAACTTCAGCAAAATCTACACCCTTGTGTTGCACAAAATGGAACCTTCTTCACTGCGTTATTCCTCTTCTCCCTGTAGCTTAATCTGGACAGTTTTGGTTTGCTTTAATTAGAATTCAGATCTATGCAAACACAAGCAGGGAAAAGAATATGTGCTTTGGTTTGTTTTGTTTTTTTTTAATTTGGTGGTGGTTGGTGATCCTCATTCAAAAATAAATCCTGGGACCTGTGTCTTTCTAATTAGTGCCTTAAATAACCAGGAGGCTGCGCTGGGATCAAGATAGTGCCGGGGGAGGCAAACACAGGGAATTAGGCTCTAACCTAAGTTGTCTGCTGAAGACCACAAGTAAGCAAGGTCAGCAGGGCCAGTAAAAATCTAAGAGCTTCTTAGCATGAGGAGCAGTAGCTGCTGCAGAGCTGGCCTTGCATGGCCTGGCTGGCAGGTGTGCTGCTCCTCTGGGCAGAACCAAGCTAAGGCTTTGCACAGGGGACAGAAAACTAGAGGGGGCAGCCCATGGGTTAGCAGTGTGTCCGTGTATGGAAGATGAAAACCTGAAAAACTGAAACAGGTGCAGGAGGGGAGGCTTAATTACTAACTGGAATATTCTTTGAACATTGCAGTGGCTTCAGAAGTGTTTGAGGATGATAATGGCAGCAGCTTTGTATCCGAAGAAGATTCAGAAACTCAGTCAGTATCCAGCTTCAGCTCTGGTCCTACGAGTCCCTGTGAGGTGCCCACTCAGTTTCCTCCTGCAACACGACCTGGAAGCCTGGATCTGCCCAGCCCAGTCTCCCTCTCTGAGTTTGGGATGATCTTCCCTGTCCTGGGCCCCCGGAGCGAATGCAGTGGGGCCTCCTCCCCTGAATGTGAAGCTGAAAGAGGTATGCACAGCTGGATACGCCCTGGGGCTGTGTTTTTCAGCTTTATAAAGGGAGCAGGAAAACCTTCCCAGCCTCCCTAGGCATATGCCAGGGAACGCTCTGAGCTGCTGGCCACTTCTTTGGGGAAGGCCCTGTGTCTCAAAGTTAACAACAATGTTTATAATGTATTAATTATTGTTCTGGCTGCAAACTTTCCCCAGTTTTGTCTTAGTGCAGGGGTTTGAGATTTCATCAGTGGGATTCTCATGGTACATTTATTTGGAGGAAAACTTGAATTTATTTATTTAAGTTACTGCCCTGCATTATTTGAAATTTTGATTGATTTGATGATTTTGAAAATCTTGTGTTCCAGGGGGGAAAAAAAAACCCACAAAAAATAACATGCCAGAAGGAGCTTCTTGCAGGCTCTGCCAGCCTTGGCTGACTAATTCAGACTAGAGGATTACCACTGCCCTTGTCTGCTCCATCCTAAGGCTGTTCTCACTAATTTGCTGATGCAGTGCACAAGATGAGCACGGCTTGGAAGGCCAACTTGGTTTTGTTAAAGCATCTTGCTCCTGCTCCTGTAATTTCTGTGTGCTTTGGCAAAGGACGCTGCAGAGGCACCTGCTTGAAGCTTAGCTTGCAGAATGAAATCTGGGTTTAACATCCAGTTTAATCCTTTCTTTGCAGGGGATAGGGCAGAAGGGGCTGAGAACAAGACAAGCGACAGAGTGAACAAGAACAGGAGCAGCACCAGGAGCAGCACCAGGAGCAGCTCCACTGAAGGGCTGGCTCTGGATAACCGAATGAAGCAGCTCTCCCTTCAGTGCATGAAAATCAAAGAGGGAATTTGCGCGGGCAGGAAAGCTGCCCAGATTGGCTGAGGCCTTCTCGTGCCCCGTCCTGAATAATGGGAATCTAAATATTTATACATGAACTTCTAAGTGTTTGAAGAACGTTGTGCCAATAATATATGCCAAATCTTAAGCGTTTACTCTGAGAATTCAAAAATGCACTAAGAAGTTTAATTGATGTGGAGGGCTGAAGTTTTTATTCAGTAAATCCTTTGTAGGCCGGACGAGTTATCAAATGTTTAAGCTGTGCTCATATTTCACAGACTTTGTAAATTGTTTTGTAGCAGCCTGGCTGAAGCAATAACTAGTAATGTTCCCGTGTAAATTCATGCCAGTCGGGGGTCTGAAATTCAAGCCAGACTTTTGCAGAGAGCGGTTTGGCTTTGGTTTTATAGAATGAAATGCTCTTTAGATACAACCAATCTCTTGAGTACAAGTGGCATAATCTTTAAACATCTGTATTGGTCTGTATTATGCTGAAACTGTAGAAATATTTTGTATACAGGAAAGCTGTTGCATGTGTGGGGTCTGAAAGCCTTCACTCTTCCCTTGGTGCTCACAGAAAGGATAAAACGAGTCATGCCTCTAAAAGCCTATAAAACAGATGGATGTCAGGAAGGGGATGGTAATGCCCAGCAGCGGGAGGCCCTTTCTAGACACCTTCCTGAGTCAGGCTTGGACTCTGCAGGTGATTCCAGTGACCAAAAAGAGTTGATTGGCCCCTTGCCCTTCTGCTTCCCTGAGAAGTGAAGTATTATTTTTCAGCACTTTAAGTGTTTTCTGTTTTGTTTTTTTTTCCTCAAAAATGGGAGTCATAGATGTTTTCAGGACGATTATGATAAGGGGTTTGCCCTTGAAATATGCATGAAGAAAAGGAATTGCCAGTGTAGATTGACAATGTGTTCTTAAGCTTCTCTGTAGGTTGTACTGTGTGGGGGTTTATAACTGTTAAAGGGACTTGGGATTTTAGTATGCCCTAGACAAAGTGTTCAATAAAACTAGAAAGGGCACGGGGCATGTTTTGCCAGCAGCTGTTAGGCAGTAGTAGTGTCTGATAATTATGCTAATAAGTGGTAGTAAAAATCCTAGGACTCTTCAGTTTTGGTGACTAAGCATTTCTGAAAGCACCATTTTATCTAAAATGTCAGTTTCTATTGTTAATTTGATGGGAATCTTAGTATTGCCCAAAGTATTTTCTATTCTATGTTTTTGCAGTCCTGTTGTATTTCATCCCTGCCACAGCTTGTGTATCTATTCTCAAAGTTAATGTAAAATTCTTCACACTACAGTAAACATTTTTGTTTTCCACCTTTTGAGTCTGTGCAAGTGAAGTTTCTCTCAAGTGCTGGGAACCAAATCTTCTCCCACAGCAAGTTTAGCCTCCAAATATCCACTTCCAGCTGAAGACTGCAGGCTGAGCTCACATGTGTTAGAATCCATTGCAGTACGTGGGCACCTCTTTCCAGCTTTCCAAATCCCCGCATATGTGGCTCACTTTTTATTCTGAACTGTGCCACAGGACCAGAGCTTTAGTCAAGTTCTCCAAAACCCCCTTAGTGTGCAGAAGGAGAGAGGTATTCTGTTACTTAAGACCTCTGTACCTAATGATGCTGAAATTGGCTGTAAAGCTGTGCAGAATTGGAGGCAAAGAATCCTATTTTCATAAAAAAATAGATTCCTCACATGATAGGTGTTAAGCTGTAACTGTGTTAAGACATTTATATGCTTACATCTTCTGAAGACCTTAAGGCTGAAATCTTCTACTGCCAGCAGTTCCCAGGCCCAGAAAATGTTCAGGAAAGAAATCTGTAGTTCCAAGTTCTGATGTAACCATTACTTGGGAAAAAGCTGGGATAGACTGTATTAAATATGAAAAGCAGTAAAGGAGTGCTATACTGTATTAAGTGTTTTTACTTAAACTTTCATAGTTGAGCTATTATCTGTGTTGCATTTTGTTAGAAAAACTAGCCATAGGTCTTTGTGGTTGAATCTCACTTTTGCAGACCTCCCAGTCAACACCTGTTACATTTTCCTGGGTTCTGTGGATGGTTGTTTTGGTAGTGATTTTTTTTTTTTTTTTTTTAACCTCCCTTATTATTATTAAATTTCTTCTCATCTAACTGGAAACCCAAACTTCCCACAGCTGGGTGCAATGAATTAATTTTGTGGGTGTACTGCCCTGTGTATGTCCTGATTGGGTAAAACCATTGATCTGGAAGTTTGAAAGGGTGTGGAACCCACTCTGCCCTTCTTTTCTACCACCCTGCTGCAAGATTTGCTGGAAGGTCATGGTGCAGGCCTTCCTCCTTTGGTGAGCCATGGACTTGGCAGGCTCAAAACTTTTGCCTTCAAACATGCAAGCAAACAGGCAGAACTGTGTGTCTAATAAATTAATGGAAAACTCTTTATTTCATACTTCATAAAAGCCATAATTATAAATATGACAGACTTAAATGAACATACATTGCTATGGAGTACAAGCAAATGAACAAGCTTTCTCCAGTTTTTACTTAAGCTCTTCATGGATTCTGATGTATAGCATGATGGTAGCTGCATTCATGGGTATAAAAATAAGCCTCTGGTGTATCAAAGTGTACATGATTGCTTCAGCTGCCCTGATGTGAGGATGTATAAAGCAAATGTTAACCTAGAACTTCTACTTTTCTTTGGTATTATCAAACAAGTTCTGTGTCCTTTTAGATGAAGTGATGAAAACCTCTACTGTATGTACACAAATATAATTCTAAATAGGTGGCTGTTCAGAGGCTGCAGAGATTGTGTGGTTAAGTGCATAATGACTGTACAAAATAGTTACATGATGTTGCAGCAGGACTGAACTCAGACTGACAGTCTGGGGCAGCTGGGCTAGAAGCTGTTGATAGCATTCGTCCATGGTACTACATCTCACTGAATCTTTGAGAACTGAGCGATTGGATCAACCAAGGGCTAACCTGTATCTTCCTAACAAAACAAACAGAACAAACTATGTTCTCTGTCATGTGGCTCAAAAAATACTAAACAGTACAGGGGAAAGAAAAGTTTAACTTAGTGGCCTGAGGTTGTGTTAAAATAGAAGGATCAGTTCACTTTGCAGTATTTTTTCCAGACTTGTGGAAAAAATATAAAAGTATATATTTGGCAGAAAATATGAAAGCAAATCCTAAATGCTTACATCAACGTTTTTTCTCAAGAAAAAAGGGCAAGAAAACTTTGTTGCAAAATTAATTTGCCAGAATCCCTTGGCTACAATTTATATGGATATTGCGTAGTATCTCTCAAATACTTCACCTGAGTGTTCTGTCCTATAGCTGAAGGGAAGTGCACAGTGATGGCATTCTAGTAGCCTATGCAGGTGCAATATTTGAATAGAATTTCCTATATATAAATATATAAATATATATATAAGATTGACACTAAGCCTAAATCCTGTGCATTAATGGGGATGAGCCCAATCCACCGACTGTTCTGAATGTGTAAGAAATATTAAGTGTATCCTGGTGGGGACAGGATCCTTTGGCCTTAATGCCTTTGCCTGGCATTAGGAAAGTGAGTACATTTCTTACTTTTTAGTTCAGTGAAGTTCAGCACAGTATGGAAGCTGAGCCTTATGCTCGTTCCACGCAGCATAAGCTTTGGCACTAACTTGTGCTCAGGGGAAAAGAGAAAGAAAAACTCCTTCCTGCCGAGTAGAAACCAGCTACTGAAGAACAACAACAGATTTTCCTGTAGGCAAGTCTACCAGCTTGATCTCAAACAGCAGAGAGTGTGCAAGAACTTGGTGCTGAAAGCCGGCACTTCTGGCATCTGTTTTTTGTACTGTCAGAAAGATATTCAGTTGAGACTTCCTCACTACCTCTGATTTTAGAGGTGATAAGATACGTGGAGGACTCCACTGCTATTCTGGTTTAGCCTCAGCAAAAAACTTAACAAAAACCTGTAGAGAAAATGGGAGTTGAATGAAATTTTCATATTTTAGGGATGAAGCAGTCCTTGGCACATACTCCAAAAGCCAAGCATAACCACAAATAACCTAATCTGCTTTTTTCTCAGCCTGCATCCAGGCTGTTCCCTCTGTTGATTTATTGCAATAATCATCAGAAACTTCCCTGCAAAAGAAGGTAAGTCACTCTGTGACAAACTTGTCACAAATTCCCTAGCCCAGATGGTCTCTGAGAGAACTGCAGTCAGCAAGGTGTGTGTTTCCCAAGACGGGAGCTATCACTGCCCTTTCAGCACCAGACACTTGTTAAGCAGCTGTCTGACAAAGCAAATGAAACAAAAGGTTCTCCTACTTTCTGGAGAGGACTTATAGAACATTTCTGTTGGAATAATTTTAGCCCACAGATATTTCTGTGGTGCTGCTGTAGAATGTGTGTTCAGTTTCCCAATGGCCAAGTGACACTTGTGATCTAAAGCAAGATTGAAGTGATAACTTTTTGCTTGAAAACTGCCAAACCAGTGTGAATGGCAGCAAAAATTCCTATGGCTGTTTTTAAAATACCCTTTCCCCCAATGGTGAAATATTGTAAATTTTGTGAAAATGACAAAGTTTAATCCATTTCAGGATTTGTGAGGCAGTTGGCATTAAATAAAAACTTATCATTAATCCTCTTCAGATACAATGTATGCAGATCTAGAGGAAGAGCAAGTAGAGGAGGGACACTTCGAAAAAAGTAACTTGTTCTGCATTAATCCCACCTCCACTATTTTCTTAAGAACTCTGACCCTGCTTCTATTGATGAGATGGGCTGTGTGCTCAATTCCCTCACTGGCTTCAACTTACAAGGAAAAAGGTATGTTTTCAAAGATGTCTTGCATAATGGAAGCAGCAAGTGCATTCCTTGCAGCTGTATTGGGGGAGACGTTTAAATGATCCTTTCCTACATGATGTGTACTTACAAAAGTGATGAAAAGAAAACATTTCTTTGCTGAGTTCCTGATGGTGGGCAGTTCCCCATCTCCTTGCACCAGCAACTGAGACTACCCTCAGTAGATACAGTGAATTTTAGAGGGGATCTTCAAAGGAAAACCTTTCATAGCTGCTCGAGGAAGGCTGTGCTGCACTGCCTGGACACTGCTGCTGGATAACCTCCTGGTCTTCCTGCTCATCAGGATCAACCTAGGTCTGGCAGATGGCAGGAAGAAAGCCACAGAACCTCATACTCTATTAGGTACTAAAGTCAATTGCTTTGCTTTTAGAAATAGCTAAAGCTGGAACCTTCCTTTTCCTTTACTCCTATATACATATTCCAGATAAGATGACACATGGAATACTATTGGCTCAGCAGTAGTACATTTACATTTAGATGTGAGAACCAGTTCCATGCTGAAACATTATAGATAGCAGCATAAATATGTAATAAAAGCTATTTGGTCCTGAGACTGAATAAGCAGAATACACAAGAATGTTTTTTTTCTTACATGTTTACTTTTAAGAATAGAATCTTTAGCCCATATATCCTGTATGTTGGGAGGAGGGAATTTCAATGTTAGTTTTTCTCATAACTCACTAGACTTTGATTCAAAGTGTGGAAAAATTGAAATAAATCGAGTTCTGCTGGTTCATTTGAATATATGCATTTTAGCCTATTCCCAAGCCTGTTGAACAGTGCTCACTCCTGGACCATAGCAGCAAACCCACAGCTAAGTGCCCACCACAATTAACTGACAATCCACGATTCTACGCTTTTGGCTATAACTCAGGATGTAATTTTCTTTTGTGCATGTGTAGTAAAGGTTCTTCACCTGTTCTTAGGCTGTTGGATAGATCAGAACTATCTCCTTAAACAGCACTGCACAGTTCTGTCTCCTCACTGCAGCTGTGACACCTTAAGAGGAGTAGTACTGTTAAAATCTAAGAAAAAGGGGCCCTCTTGTTGAGGCAGGAATGTGGTGGGGATAATGTTGTAAACTCCAGCAAATGTGTTCTCCACCTCCAAGTAGCAAAATCCACACCTATGATAAAGAAAACTACCTGTTAGAAATGAGATCTAAAGCATGTTTCAAACCTCTATGCAGACTTCACTAAGTGTTACCTGTAGTCACCACTGCTTTTTTTCTGAAAGCCATAGGACCCAGGATCTCCCACTGTTGAGACGGTGACAAGTTCAAAACCAACACTGTATTGCCTGCAAGTAACACGACAGACTTTCTTTAGCTATTTGTGCTCTCAAGCAGAATTCAAGTAGTTAAGCTTGCGACACACTCCTGTGCCACATGGCAGAGATCCTGTGTGATCGGATTGCTATCAGAGGACTTGGTGTCAGTGATCCCAGTATAATTTCTCATGTTGCAGTACAACTTGGGACACTTTGTCTGTTCCTGTTAATGCATGTGACAGGCACCGCTGCCCCTGTCCTTCAAACTACCCAAATATGATATCCAAATGCAGGAAAAAATGCAAAGAACTGTTCAATTAATGGAATCATGCAGCCACACCTCTGCCTTCATCTTCATTTCATGAGAGAAGGAGTTTCCTCAAAGAGGGGAGGAGAGATAGAAAAATTCTGCCATTTTGTGGAACTCATTGTAAAGATTTGCAAAGGATGAACACTTGACTGCAGGTCAGGAGATGTTGCAATTCAGAAGTGCTGAATACTGGTATTTTGAGGTAATCATTAATTGTGCCAAAGCAATTTGGCCTGCATGAGTGTACTTTTTAGGACATTGTCATCCAGCACTTCTCCTGGCCTGCTAGTGGCAGAGTAAATGCACATGCAGAGGTGTTTGAGAGCTGTAAGGGTTTAATATTGCATATTAGCTCTACTGCAAAGTAAAAGGAATTACGATCATAATAGTTTTAAGAGGAAGTCCTTTATACCTTCTTCCCTAACTCTGCTCAGACTCCAAAACTAAAGAGAAAGGAAGACTGCTGCTTTCCTTATAGGTCAAGGATTTCCC